GGGGAGAGGTGACCTGGACAGTAAGAAGAATGGCCCAATGTTTACAGGATCATTCTGAACATTTGACATGTACATTAACATGTGAATCCCCAAGCTTAAGTGAACAGTGCCTGACTTGTCCTTGGCTTACTCAACTGATGCCTGACATACCCAGGAATACAGACTCCAGCTCTGCCTCTATAAGGGAGATAGTCCGAAGTATGAGCTGTCTCCTACCAGAGCTTGTAAGACAGAAGCCCCACTCTTTCTGGGCTTCCTGCCCTCCCTAGGCCCACTCCTCTATGGTTCCATGCATTATTCCTGGGGACCCTTTTTGATAAGCTGACCCACAGGGCTCCCTCAGGACTCACATCTCTCTCTATTACACTTGCCATGAGAAAAGTGAATATCCTGACAATATCAGGTCAACTGAAATATGGGTTATTTTTTTCTGGATGAAATTTCTATAGCTAGTCTATTATTGCATTTTATTTTTTTAGTTCAATCATTTAACACTCACACTTATGGTCAAAATAACTGTAACATATGAATGAAATGAGCTGACCATTTATCCAAGTATCCTCTCTCCCGAGGAATTCCCCTTGGCTGTGGTGAGAACTGCTTAGTTAGGTCTCCATGTATTCAGGAAAGCTGCCCTTGTCACTCTGGCTGGCTTTCAGGCTGGCTTTCTCTCGGGGTGGAGGGATGGCCACGCCTCACAGAGATCTTCAGGAGAGCAGCTGGCATTTTGGTCATTTCCATTCCTGTGCCGTGCTTCACTTCAGAGCACCCAGCCCTCCCCTCTCATTTACCTTCTACGGCAAATAGGAGTGCAGGGGTACCCTCCAGCAGGTACCCAGGAAGCGATTCTGGTTTGCTATTTGGTTAACTCCCCAAGCCATGGCGCCTGGTGGTGCTCTGGTGCAGCTTGAGCAAAGCCAAGTTCACCTGACAGGCACTGCCAGGATACTTGTAGTGGGAGAGGACCAGCCCCACGAGGGGAGAGGCTGGCACACTGCCACAGTGAGGAGCAGCCACAGGGAAAAGGCTGCCAATGCCAATGATTCAAGCAGAGGCAGGGCTGGGAGGGAGGGAGGGACTGGATGGAGAGGTTGCAGAGCCAATGGGTCCTGGGTTCGGAAGCTTCCTGGGTTCTGCCCTCAAGAATCTCTAATATCTACCACACATTAGTATAGCCAGTGACTCATGTCTCTGAAAACTCTGAGGTCAATTACAAATTAATATAGAATTGATGGGGAAAATGTCTTTTTTATAATTGAAAAATGACAACCAAAAAACCCTGTTTAACTTTCACTTTTTCAGAAAAAAATTCCAAAATTTTAACACATGCTGTCAAACAAAGCGATATCTATATCTATCTATATATCAACTCAATCTATGTACTTTATGCAGAGTGAGGGTGAGGCATCTGAGCTGACATCTGGACAGAGTAATATAGACTATTTCTCTCCTTTCTTTAAAATAGGATTGCTAAGCAAATAAAGGTTATTTACTAAATATTACTGTTTTCTGACAATGCAGCAGCTCATATTTGAAGGGCATTTCATAACACTGGAATATTTTTATGCCCTTTTCATTTCTGTCCCATGAGTATATATCAAGGTAGATATTATGCTTTTCATCTGGGCATCACAGTTGAGAAAACACTTTGTGAAGTTACATAGTTGGTCAGAGGACAGGGGAGAGTTCAGAGTACATCCTTTACATCCAAACCCTACATTTTCTCCTCCCATGTATTTTAGCGGAGGGTCTTTCATAGAGAAGACTGGATTTATTTACTAGAGTCAATGGGGTTCCGAAACGTGAGTGCAACTTTTCTCGGATATTCCCTGGCAATTTTACAGTGAAGGGCAGTCAAAGGCATAAAGTAATTTTCCAGTCTTTACTGACACTGCTTACAGTGGAAAAATATCCTAAGGTTTCACTGGCAGAAAGGAACCGTTTACTTGAATAAATTTAAGAATCCCAATCTAAAGGCATTAAACCAATTAGGAGCCCGTTAAAGACCGTGTATGCTAAGGGTCACAATGGACAGCATTTCCACCTCAAATGTATGTGAATGACTCCAGAGATACAGAGACCTGACCTGTCCCTAGAGAGTCCTTGCCAATCTTTTCATGAAGGGAAAACTATCTGGCCTCCAATTTTTAATTTTTTTTAAAAAAGTAAGCAAACAAATAAATAAACACTCAGCATGAAGCAAGGAAGAAATAGAAACCCAAGTTCTAACATGTTCCCACAGCAGTCACTAATTAGGGTCAAGACATATCAGCTGCTGAGCGGGCAAAGCCCAAGGGAGAGGGGGCCCAGGAGCTGTTAAGCCACAGAGCATGCTCTAATTGCTATGTTTTGTTTGGAAATTGATCCCAATAATTAGAAGAGCCAGGATTTAAACTCATTCATTCTTTATCCAGAATCCAGCACTGCCACACCCCATGGCAGCTAAGACCAGGCAGTGGCAGCGTCAACCTTTGCAAAGGATGAGGGGCGAAGCTCCCACCACCCCAACCTTGGGAATGCCCCTCAGTAGCTGTATGATTGCCTGTAACATCAGAAAGGCGAGATTTAGAGTCAGTAGTTTTTGGACCTACATCAGCTCCCCGACTTTGGTCTAAGGGAAGATTTCCCCTCACTTGTCAGGCGAAGCAAACACGAAGACAGAATACACAAGCGGACTTCAGTGTGCGACGCCACAGTTTTTCATATCTCTCCCCAGCTCAAAGGACCCATCAGAAGTGGAAGCCTGGGCTACAGGTGGCCTTGTTGAGGCTTGCCTCTAAGGCAGAACTGAGTGGCAAAGGCTTGAGGACTATATTACCCACAATCCGGCTACTAATTATGTATGTTACCCATGCACCTGTTTCTGCAGTGCAGGATTTAATTGACAGCATGTGAAACCTTAAGCAACATTTTCTTAGTGGTTCACATAATAACAGTGCATCTTACAGTAATGATATCTTAGATTTTTTATGGAAAATGATCATAAAATCAAAAATACTTACGGAGTCCCGTTATGATCCAAGCTCTAGACTGGACTAGACTGAGGGAGAGGTGCTTGTGGATGCATGAGACCCTGAGTTTGGATCCCCAGAACCCATGCAAAAGCCAGGGGTGGTGTTGGAGGAGTGGTTGAGAATTCTACATCTTGCCGCCAATGGGAAGTCAACTCAGACACTGGGCTGTATTCTGAGCACAGGAAACCTCAAAGCCCGCCCCCCACAGTGACACACTTCCTTCAACGAGGCCATACCCACTCCAACAAAGCCACATCTAATAGTGCCACTCCCTGCGAGATTATGGGGGCCAATGACATTCACACTACCACACTTAACAAATGGATGCCAATAGCATACATGAGTTATTATGCACTTCAATAACGAGGATTAGTGATGGTTATGATCTACCTCCTAACTACCGAAGAGCTGCTTCAGCAGAGCTATTTGAGTCTCTCAGCACCTCTGCAAACATGGACCATTGGTGCCTATAGCGGTTCAGGTGATGTCTGACCCCTCCAGCATTTAGGGTGCTCAGTGGAGTTTAGAGAACGGACACTGTGCAGCGTTAGGCCTAACTCTGAAAGGCAGAATAATTTATCTAATGCCTTTCAAATAATGCATGACTTTAAGTAATATGCAGACGTGGGACACACAATCAACATAGGGGATTCCTCAAATGCATTTTACCTCTCAAACCTGCTGTGCTGTTTTGCAGTGTCCCAATTCTCCTGCAATGAAGCCTACTGCCCCTTCTTTGAGATGTAACACATGTGTTGATGGGCGGGGGGAGACTATCTTTCACAGGTCTCTTTTTCCATCAAGGTAGACTAACTCATGTCTTTATGGCATAGCCTCTTCAATCTGTAAAGCCCTCCTCTAACAAATAAGTTTTTTATAAAGGGAGGGGGAGGGGAGAGGAAGAGGGAGGTAGAGAGAGGGAGAGAGAGAGAAAGAGAGAGAGAGAGAGAGAGAGAGAGAGAGAGAGAGAGAGAACGAACTATGGTCCCAGAGAAAATGGAAAAAGAACAGAAGAAGGTCCCCATACAGCCTGGCAACTTTCCAGCACGCTGAACTAGCCTTATGAGTTTCTGGGATTAGAATTCAGCAGACAAAATGAGCCAATTAAAAGGCTTGGCCCCAAACTGTGTGTGGATAAAGAGCTTTGCAGGCCACAGCAATCTAACCTGGGTTGGAAACTCTGCAGGCTGACTGACTAGTGATTTGCATCTCAATCGTTTTCATTTGATTCATTTTATCCACTCAGCAAAAGTCAGACACTGCTTGGTTTAGGAAAGACCAGTCTTCCATCCGCCTCCCCACCAGGCTCGACAGACACAATGCGCTCCATCCTCAAGGTTTCCAGCCACTGACTTTGCTCTGACTCAGAGTGGCCAGTGTCTGTTGTGTCAAGTGAGATCTCCAGAGCATCAAGAACATGGACTGCACCGGGTTTTCCCTTCAACTCAGTAGCAGTTCCCATCCCCAGTACCATCATTAATGGTTCTTTATGACACAACACAGAAAATCATGAGCAACACATAGAAAATCATACTCCTTATTCTGCCATAAAAACCAAGAAACCACACTGATTCCACTCACTATTTGAGAAGCACGTATATCTACACATCACATTCCAAACGCGCTGTGTGGACCCCAAAGCCTATCAGGTTCCAGGTGACAAAAATCCAGAAAATACAATCCACCAGTTCTTTCCCATGAGGAATCAACACAAGATCATACGGCAACACCTTATATTGTACCACGGAACAAAGAATGATTTCATGTTTCTGATGTGCATTTTGAACTAAGTCACACTAGAATTATAATGAAGTCTACAGTATGACGGATGCCTAAGTCACGAGAGCGACTTGATGCTTGTGGCTTATCTAGACGAAGCAGATGGGAAATGACCCAATCCCAGTATTCCTCCACCAAGATCCTGGCACTCAACAAGTGACAACCTTGGCACATTCCAGGTAGAGAATGGATGCGGCATGAACTTACTTAACAGTTGGCAATAGAGGGCCTGTAAACTTCTCTTCATGGTATCATCTGGTCCTGCTGGTCCTCCAGTTTATTCATGATTCTGTCTAGGAAAACGGGATAAGAAATTGTTACATCAAGGGCACACATTCCCAATTAGAAGAATTCCATTTGGGTGTGAGCATGGCAGTGCACACAGAGCTGTATCTGAAATAGAAAAATCTAAAAACAGTTAAATTTATAATGTTCTATGTTAGACCATTACCACTGACCTTTTGACCTAATCCCTGAGCCATGTTAACACCTCCGCTTCTGAAGACAACCCTATGGGCAGAGAGTGAGAACCTGGCTTTGAAGGATTTTTATAGCTCTCATGACCCTCTAGTGTAGCGGTTCTTAACCTGTGGGTCATGACCCCTGAGGGGGGGGCAGGGATTGAACAATCCCTTTACAGGGGTTGCCTATTGTCACCAGAAAACACAGACATTAAGATTCATAACAGTAGAAAAATTACAGTTGTGAGGTAGCAACAAAAATTCTATGGTTGGGGGTCACCAGAACATGAGGAACTGTATTAAAGGGAAACAGCATCAGGAAGGTTGAGGTCACTGGTCTAGTCTTAGGAGAAGAACAAGGGTCTTTGTCTTTTCTAATCTCTTTTCTGCTGAGGGGTTCACTAGACCAAAAGAAAGATTTCTCACATTGAAAATGTGGGATGCAAAATGAATTTGTTAGCTAGGCCTGGTGGCACACACCTGTCATTCTGGCACCCAGAAGATAGAAGCAGGGGAGGGGAGAGTTCAAGGCTAGCCTGAGCTGCACATTATGGCCTTGTTTCAAACAAAATAGCACAATAAAATAAGTAAGCTTTTAAAAATAAAAAAAATAGAAATAATTTACTATTATAAAGAATACTTTTATGGAGCATTTAGAAATCACAGTTAACTGAAAATATGGATAAGAATAACTAAAAAGCACCAATGATAGGATCCTGTCACTATGAGGTGGTCCCTCAGACTCTGGAGAGCACCTCTCTGGGTGCATGCACTCCATATGTCTGCGGTGTTTTATACACTCTCACTCTGACTTTTCCTCCTAGCAGCAGACGCATGCTGCTGTGTCAATGAAATTTACTACCTGCCATTTAGGCAGCAAATATTTATTTAGGAGAAGTTCCTAGAAATGAAAATGCAAGGAAACAACATAAGGCTTTGGAGAAACCATAAATTTTCTCTTGAGAATCAGTATCATAGAATGACCATTTAGACAACGTTCGACCCAAGAATGAAAATGTACAATTTCCTTTCGTGCCTCCAGGTAAATATTACATCGTATTGCTTTAATTTGTACTTTATATGCTTAATAGTCATTTATCTTGAAAAGTTAGAATTTATAATCTTTGATGTTCCTTCCCAGCAGACCAGGTTTTCATTTTCTTATAACACCCCACGTAGAACTAGCTTGCCTTAATATCTTTTAAAAATTGAGACATAATTGATATATTATAAAGTCCTGCCTTTAATGCATGTGACTAGCTGGTGAACCCTTATCAGAGAGCTTCCATGGGCAGCAGATGGTGACTGATACAGAGACACACGACTGGTCAATGTGCAGAGAATAAAAGATTGTGGAGTGCTCGGTCCTAAATGGGAAATCGATGTCACACCCTCTCCCCTCAAGGCTCAGGGATCATGGCGGAAGAGGGGGCAGAGAGATCATAAGAAGCAGAGAGAATGTGAGACTGACCCAAAACAGTGTTTTCGAGGTGTAATGAATGTAATGCTGTTGTACACAGCACCCACAGTGGCAGTGACTGCACTCACAAGACCCGCACAAGATCAAGCCAACCCAAATAGTAGCACTTATGGAGAAGGGCTTACAAAGTCCCACTGATGGCTGGGGAAAGGAGAGCCAGTTTCTTCCGGGATTCAACCCCTGATAGGTGGTCCATGCTCCCATGGATGACCTTACACATGAGTAGATACTGGTAGCACAAAGTGAACTAAATGGGTTAAAGAAAGCACACACTCCCTGGGGGAGGAAAACGTGGTAGGAGGGATATGAGAGGGGTTACAGCAGAAGGAGTTTGGGATGGTGTTGACAAAACCACATTATATGCAAATATGAAATCCTGAAGCAATAATTCTTTTAAAAGCTACTTAAGCACTACTTATCCCAGAATGTTTCATTACTGTATCCACTACTCATTGTTAAACACTTGTCTGCTTCACTGATGACCACTAATCTACTGGTGACCCTTTAGAGTTGCCTATTCTAGGTTCACATAAATATAATTGATCATACAATACATGGCATCTGTACCTGACACTTTTTACTTAGCAAAGTGCTTTTGAGCTTTACCCCTGTGTGGGACATCCTGCATTTAAAAAGATTGCCACTCATTTTCCCATGGTTAGAAAGACCTTTGTTGGTCTCTTGCTACAAAATATTTCTCTGTATTTTTCTCTTGTATTTATATTGCATTTATATTTATATAGTATTTTATATTGCATTCATTATTTTTAAATGATTTTCTATTCTTCAATGAGTTTCTAGACTTTGTGATACTTTCAATTTCTGTTTTCTCATTCTACCATTGGAGTGTTTATATTAAACCATTAGTACCGTTTCTTTTCTATTATTGTTTTTTGGTATTTGTCCTATTGGTGTTTAGATGATTTCAATGTATTAACTTTATAGGGATTATAGTGGGAGAGCTCTTTTATTTGCTTAGAAAAGACTTGGTGTCTTCAAAATTCCAATGCAGTAAAGGGAAAGGAAAATATTTTAAAATATGTCACTGTGGCTATCAGACTGTCTTCCAAAGGGTGAGAAGCTATCTTTTCAGGAACACAACACCTTAATGATGCCCTCAGTTAGGCAAATAAAGATAATACACCCACAAGAGGAAGAAAGAGAGACAGAGATCATTAAATTGCCTTTAATTAAAATTAAATAAAGATACTTGAGCTTCTAAATATTAGTGTTGGAGAGATGGCTTACAGAAGCGGTTAGGTTCAGCAACGACAGAGGCTGATGTGATAAAACAGGAGGTGGTTAAAAAATAGTAAGAGGCAATCCCAAAACATGCTGGCATGTGAGGCTGAAAGATAAAGGAGGGATGAGAAATGGCCCTCATGATGCCCATGAACTTTAGCTTTCCTCTGCTTCTTGTTTTACCCTATCTTTACTAACAGGTGCAATCTTCATTCCTTCTCCCACAGTGCTCATCCATGAAGAGCATCCTTGAAACCTTAGGCTACACCTTCATAAAATAGCCCATTGCTACTAGGACTTCACAGGGACAGTTGAGACAAAAGAACATGTTCTGAGCCAAGGGTGATTTCCAGAGGCCACTCCTCTGCCAGCAGCCATAAGCAACGGGTAGTGGACATCTATGAAGTACTTAGGACATGGTAAGCACTCAATAAATATCTACTGAACAGGGAGTAAATGAATATATAGATGATCAAGTAATAGGAGAGCAGAAAATAATCGTAGTTAACTTTGATCAAGGAGAACATAAGCCTCTTAGTCATCTCTAGAAATGCTTAGGGTTTTTTGAAGAAGCAAGCGATGTTCCCCAATATAAGGAATAAAGCAATTAGTGAGTTATCAAAGAAACAATTGAGTCAGCAAATCTCAGAAATTTGGGACCATCTGAGTTACACAGGGCTATCCCAACAACAGATATCATCTCGTATACTATTTATTCAAAATTCATCTTGATTTAAGTCTTTTGATGGAATTTCACAGTGCTTTTCTTCATTTACATCCTATTGTCATATCAAGTAAATTTGTAGGCATTTTACATGTATCTTTTGCCACTGTAATAGATTTCCTGTTACCATTTTATTCTCTAATTACTTTGACATGGGAATAATTCACTTCTGTATATTCATTTTGTTACTGATCTGAAGTTATTTGCTGTTCTAATGCTGGCTTCTAAGTTGAGTCTCTGGGATCACTTGTGTTACTTTGAATAGATAGAGAGTCATAATTAGATTCTATTAGAAGTTGTTTTATTAAATCATGTTTAATTTATTTTATATGTATGTGCGTGGCAGGGACTGCTTGTGGTACAAGCATGTACCACATGTGACATGTATGGAGGTTACAGGACTATGTGGATCTAGAGAAATGGAACTCAGGTCATCAGACCTCGTGGCAAGTATCTTTTCCATTTGAGCTTCTCACCAGTCCTTGAAGATACTTTTCAACCCTGCAGTAGGAAATATTAACTATATCAGTATGGTTCCTTGGGGAGTAATTTAAAATCTTTAAGGATAATGATTAATTTCTGGAAAGAATGTCTAAGAAATAACAGTAAAAAAATCATAGTAAAAGAAAAATAATCTACTTTGACTATTCCGGTTCTGGAACAGTAACTGTAGATAAAGTCAGGAAGTCTAGAGCTTCAGACTATAGGTTTAACACTTTGGAATAAGTAAACACTAGAACCATTCACCTCCTGGCTCAGGCTAACATATTGTTAGCTAGCTTTTATATCTTAAATTAACCCACTTTTATTAATCTGTGTACCACCATGTGGTTGTGGCTTACTGGAAAGACCTCTGACAGCCATAGAAGAGGCTGGTCCATGGAGAATGTGCCAGAAGGGTGAGGTTCGATTGCCAATAAGTAAATAAATAGAAGACATTATAATACTTTAGTATCTATTATAGAGCCATAGTAAATAAAACAGCATGGTGCTGGAACAAACAGAGACACATGGACCAATGAAACAGAATAGAGAACCCAGAGCTAAGTCCACATTTCTACAGTCAACTAGTCCTTGACAAAAGCATCAGAGAAAGAACAATAACGCTGACAAAACTGGATAAGCATATGCAACAGGATTGAAAACTACACCCCTTTATCTCATCACTTATAAACATAACTTAAAATATAGCAGCAACCTGAATGTAAAATCCCAAACCCTGCAAACACTAAAATGAAATGGGAAATATTACAAGACACTCTTTAGAGACAATGGTTTTCTACATAGGACCCTACAAGCACAGAAAAGAAAAGCAAACAGAATGGAGTGACATTACATTAGAAAGCTCCACACAGCAATTGAAACTCAACATAGCAAGGGGG